TATCTAAGAAGTGTTTAATAACTTGCACCCAACACGACTGCATCATACCTGCCCAGTTAACCTACACAAAGTACACTACCTAACTAGCGTTGCCGTTGGCGTCCCGTCACTGCTACCGCCTGAAGAATTTGGTTCTCAGTGTTCCCATTTTTTTCTACGCCAGTGCCAGTGGCACTTTCCAAGGAGTCAACTTGAGAATAAAGTTTTTGTGCAACGTTTTTGTGGTTGTGCCGGGAATTAAATCCGTCCCTTTCGCATCTAAGTCTGAGACACTACCATTTTGTTGTTGTTTTGTGGCTAGCAACATGCCAATTGGGTTGTGGTATTCTTAAAATATGATATCAGGTGCTCTAAATATGAATACTATTTAATATTGAAAGTTTATAAATTTGCTACGGTAATCATTGAATTACATTACCGTACTGTAATTACAAATTCCTACCGCTGAACTCGGATAAATTAATATTCAACTACCTTTCAAGCTTTGACTATTGATACAACTTCTTTTCTTTATCCAATACCCAATTCAAGTTTTCAATTATCTAGGTTAAAATGAATGATAACATTAAATGCCGAAAAATTAAACAAGAAGAATAATGCAGCCGAACGTCGAACATCAGCATCGGACACTGCCGTCGCTGTATATGGCTGAAAGCGCCCGTTGTCTGCCGATCTTCCCTATTTTCATAACGTACAAAAAATAGTCAGACTCGAACGATCCTAAGTTTTAGGTTAGAGTTTCGCCACAAGTTTAAAGACTACAACGAATTTCAATTTGGTAAAACAATTTGCAATAAAAATTATTAAAGTTCCCCTGGTATAATAGTTTATATATATAAAAAATATTTTGGGGGGGGTCATGACCCCCCTAACCCCCCCCCCCTGGGACCGCCCTTGAGCATACACCAATCTGCCAAGTACTTTATAATTTTCCTGTTCAAGCTTGTCTCAACAAGTTTCATTGCCACATGCACTGTAAAGTACTAAAATAAATTAAACTCGTTACACTTACATAAATATTAGATCAATTAAAACATTTTTTAGTGGTCAATATTTATTTGGTTTATTAAATACTGATAAGAAAATGTATAGTACGTTGTTCCAGTATAAGTATTTATGATACCTATTGCAGTTCACATTCTATATTACTTGTGACACCGTGTTACTGTTTATTTGTTTGCTCCATTGCTCCATTGCTTAAGTGTAAACGGTGTTGGGAGCAAAAATAATGATGTCACCAATTTAAAAACCAGAACTTTGAAAATCTTTAATTTTCAAACTTTTGAATCTGGAAACTCGACAATCGAATCTCGAAACCGAAAACTTCCCAAGGTTTTGAGATTTGGTTGTGACACATCACTAGTTTGAAGCATCACCTCGTAATCCTGCATCAAATTGTATTATTTATTTTCTGATCATTTATAGAATATCAAATGAATAATGATATTTTGAATTGAACAGGATGTACTTTTAATCTCGATATAAAACCTGTCAGTTCCTTTTAATATAACAAAACTGTTTTAAAGTGTCTATCTCAATTTTTTGGAAACTAAGGTGCGTTTTGCATTGGGTATACATGTACCAGAGTACACATTCAATAGAGGCTACCGTTACCTGAACAGCGCTGTTGCAGAGTAGCGTCAGCCACCTTGGGCATGTCGGTAATACAGTTTTTTTTTATATTGCATTGTAGGTTGTAAAATATTGTTTTTGTAGATGAAATTCATTTTTTGTCATAGTTTCGTGGATTTATAATCTAATGCATTTTTAATACTTGATTAAAGGTGCTCAGAGGCGCACTGCACTTCCGACCGACTACCACGACCCAGCGTCGCGTCAGAGACCCAAACTACGTTGCCAAAATCTGTAACAACTATTAGCATTATCTGTCCCCTTTTATACAATGTATACTCAATGCTTTTAGATAATAAAACTACCACTTCAATGCAAAGATTTATACAGGGTGAGTTTTAATTGTCCCCCCCCAACTTTTTTCTACATTTTTTTCAAATATCAATCCCAGACCACTTCCAAACATTGTTGGGTAGTAAGTACTTCATTTTGACAAGGTGGTCATTTCCGGCCGCCATCTTGGATCCGCTATATTGGATGCAAAATATTTTTTCAAATGTAAAGGTGGGGTTGTGACCCATTATTGCGAACTAGATTTTTACCCTGATTACAATGCCGCAAACCCTTTTAAAAAATCTTGATCCATTCCAAAGTTATGAGGGTTTTTAAAACTTTATTTTTAGCCCATTTTAACATTGTGCATGTACAAACTAAGACCATAATCTCAAAATAGTGCTAGATAAAGATAAGTATACACTACCATTCATTGTTGACCTATTTTCACTTGGTTATGACTGATGTATTTTTTTCGGCCGCCATCTTGGATCCGCCATTTTGAAATATGATAAATTATTTTAAATATGAAGGGGGTGTTGTGACCCATCATTTCGAACTACATTTTTAAGCTTAACTCAATGCCGCAATCAGTTTTTTGTTATCAAGTTTTATTTATGAAATATTGCAACTTTTTTGTTAAATATGTCAATATTTCAAAATCAAAATATGAAAATGAAAAACAGATTGCGGCATTGAGTTTAGCTTAAAAATGTAGTTCGAAATGATGGGTCACAACACCCCCTTCATATTTAAAATAATTTATCATATTTCAAAATGGCGGATCCAAGATGGCGGCCGAAAAAAATACATCAGTCATAACCAAGTGAAAATAGGTCAACAATTACTGGTAGTGTATACTTATCTTTATCTAGCACTATTTTGAGATTATGGTCTTAGTTTGTACATGCACAATGTTAAAATGGGCAAAATATAAAGTTTTAAAAAGCCCTCATAACTTTGGAATGGATCAAGATTTTTTTAAAGGGTTTGCGGCATTGTAATCAGGGTAAAAATCTAGTTCGCAATAATGGGTCACAACCCCACCTTTACATTTGAAAAATATATTTTGCATTCAATATGGCGGATCCAAGATGGCGGCCGGAAATGACCACCTTGTCAAAATGAAGTACTTACTACCCAACAATGTTTGGAAGTGGTCTGGGATTGATATTTGAAAAAATGTAGAAAAAAGTTGGGGGAGGGGACAATTAAAACTTACCCTGTATACTGTATATTTACAAAGGCTTAATACATGAAAGTAACACCTAATAAGTATTCCTTATTACAATAATTTCTTAAGATATGGAGTTTATATGGTAAAAAAGAACTAAATATTCATGATCATATAACAAATTTGTATAAAAGTCTAAATTAAATGTTTTCACCAGGCTGAAAATGGGGTTGTAAAGTGTGTTTTTTGTTGTTGAGCGATTTAAATAATGATATTTAACAGTGGTAAATAACTGTATCACCAAAGCTAAACTAAATTTCCTTAGTGTATAACAATATTCAGCTCTTTGAAGGAATCAAAGAGAACCAGGCCTAAACCTAATTATTTATGATTGTCCATACATCCTACATTGGTTGATTAAAAACAAGAAGGTTGCAATAAAAGTAGCATTTGCCATAATATATTATGGCTTACAGGATTTGGATTGCATAAAGTATACAACACAATAAACAAATATACATTATTTTAGAAACAAGAAATGCAAACCACGATGCTTGTGGTTCTGTCAATTGAAAGATTAAATATCAATATAAACATATTACCTACTACAGATGAGACAAAAGTTTAATGACAAATAAAAACATTAACAATTTGACAGCAAGTAGTGACCAGAGGGGATTAAATGTTCACGACATAAAAACTAGAAAATAAGAGCCAGAATGAGAAATGTAAAAGATCGTAAGACTATTATTTACAAGATAAAAAGTTAGATGGGTTTGTGGTTACATAAATTACTTTCATTTAGATAATAAAATAATAATATCATAGTATATATGCGGTCAACAAAATTTGAAAAATGTCCTTTTCATACAGGCCTAAAACTGTACAACTATTCGCCGAATAAATTTAAATAATTGGCAGTAAATGTTTTAAAAGTTAAAAACCAAAGATATTCTACAGGATAAGGTTTATTATTCCATCCCAGACTTTTTAGTAGACACCACCTTGGGTTAGTCATTGTACATTTTTGTTGTTATTGTAATTTTCAATGTTTGATCTAAAAATGTTTTTTTTTTTTTTTTACTGTCTAAGTATATTGAGTAGGTATTGTATTTTATTATAAGCATTATTTATGTAATTGTGACAATACACCAGTTACTCCTATAAGCACTTAATGTAACATATATTTGTGTCTATAAATTGATTTGATGATACATAAAATAATAAATAAAGGAATGAAGGGATAAACTATACAAAGTCATAAGACTTTTATGAGCTCAACAACTGGACTCGTTAGTCGTTTTAATAATGTCTTACGATATGAAGTTTCAGGGCATATAAAAACTAAAAACTAAATATTCATGATAATACAGCAAAGTAGTATTGCAATCAAAATATCCCATTTTCAAAGGGCTGGTAAACTGGTCAAAATTTAATCTGGTTTCATGTCGTATGACCAGATAAAGCATAATAATGCCCTCTGCTTGTATCTGTACGCTTTAAAAGTACAGTACCAAATTTTTGTTCTCTGACATAATAATATGAGAAAAACAGCCATTACATTCTTTAATCACATCATAGATTTGTTCAAATTAACTAAAAAAAGCCTATTTTTTAAATATGAAAACAAAACGTACAATATTATAACACAGCATTAATTATTTGGTCAATGCCCATTAAGACATTCTGAATTAGTAATATTATGAAAGTCAATCAAAAGCCCAACCATAACTGTAAAATTATCTTTTAAGTTCCTTGTAAGGGTTATAATTGTTTTTATTCATCCAAATTGCAATATATTTTGGACCGTAACTTTTACAGCATTGGAGGTTGTACAATTTTGTTTAGAGTTGAAAAGATTATAACATACTAAATTATAATGACAATTGTTTGGTGCCGTTTTTGTAGAAAATCAGATTTTTCTGTTATTTTAAGTTTTTTTTTCATAGGAAAATCACCTTTACAAATAAAAAAAATTTAAATGCCTGGAGATACTATGGATTAGTACCCACATACTAGTATTTAAAAATAGATTGAAAAAAGTAAAGTAGGCTGTTTTAATATAATTTTGATTTTTTTGATCCATACAATGTGTTCAATTTAGTTGTAAGAAAAATTCACCTTGAAAGCTTAGAAGTTTATGTAATCTGCTTATCCGGATAATACCAAGAAACTTAACATTCTCTATATAGCCATCCAATATATTTAATTTGCACTCTCTAAGGCCAAAAACAATGTTTAGAGTTTTATCTTTGTTTAAGAGAAAGCTATTAGATTCAAACCAGATAGAGGCTTCTTAAATTGAGTTTTGACTAGAAGCTGTTTAACTAAATCTTTTAAACCGTAAGCACTAACAAAAACTAACAGCTTATATTTGAATTTTTATTACAGTTTGTTAATACATTGTCCAGGCAATTATTGCCTTGAGTGGGTTAGTGATTTAGGAAGTGAAAATTGTGCTGTCGGAGTATATTAAGCAATTGTTTAGAGAGGTAGTTGTTCTGAGGCAAGTCAAATCTTTTTTTATATGTACAGTACGTAGTCTCCTCCGATAAGTTAACAATCTAACAAAATAATTATCAAGAAATACCTAAATGTTTTAACCTCAACGTTTGAAGGTGGGAGTAATAAAATGAAACAAATATTAATTTAAAATCAGCTCGATAAATACCTCTTCTGCTTCTAAACTCATTTCAGAACAAAAGTGATCCAAATTACACATTTCCTACAAGAAATGTTGGTGAAAAAATTAAAAGGCCTCTTATTATGATCAGTTCTGCAGTAATCACTACCACAACAAAAGCCATCAGGATAGGCTAAAGCAACATCTTCTGTTTTTAGCCAATGTTCAGTAAGACCAATAGCAAAAATATTATTACTAATTAAAAATTACTCTGAAATTAATATTTTTTTTTAACCCTGGAAATTTAGAAACAAGAATGAAGGATTTACATTTAAAATAGATGGGGTTTTTGTGGTTCCTGCTTGGCAGTCTTAGTAAGGCTTAACATTATTCTAAAGCCTACTTGGATCTACAGAAACAAATGATGCACTGGTACTTAGTTCAACACTACACTTCTGGGAAATGACTTCACTTTCACTTTAGATTGGACACATCACTGGCTGACTGGTTGGATAGAATATCATTGTGATTGTGATGGCAGTTGAGACGATGGATGAGCTGCTACTGGATGTGAAGATTGTTCCGTTGATGTTGGGTTGAATCATCTTGGGTCGCACTTACGGAGAGAGGCGGTCCTTGTGAGCTAGGTTGTTGGTGTGATGTTTTTGTATATCTCTGGAGGAATTCAGGGTGGAGACCGCTCCTCAGAACTCTCTGTGATGTCTTCTGGTAAGAGATGACAATACTTTAGAATTTGTTGCTTTGTATACTTTGTAACCAGAAAGAAATAAAAATTTTGAAAACCTTACCATAAAAAAAGGTGAAAATAAACCTCATAAATAATAAATTTTAAAAACCTGAAAATAATACCCCCGCCGCAGCAAACCTGCAGACTAAGCGAATTTCCATTAGCCTGATAGGATTTCACATTTAAAATTCCTCCTTAAAAATATCATATTTATTCCCTATTTTAATAAAATTAGTTTAACGAGTACTAAGGTTTGCTGCAACAGGGAGGGTAAAAAGGTGTTTTTTTTATGTTATTAGTTTAGTAAGAAATGAATGTATTTTCCAAATTTGATCAAAATATGTTCATAAACAAGTAAACTACAACAGTTGACTTATTCTCCATAAGAATAACATGGGGATTTTAAATTTACAATTTTTTTGGAATTTTCTCCGTAACCATTAGGCGCACAATAACGCTTCAATATACTAAATTATTTGTTTTTTTAAGCTCTACAAAATGGTTTGGAAATAAATTGTAAAATTTTGTATTTTTAGGGTCAAAAATGGGAAATACCTATTTTTACCCCATAAAACCCCCCATAAGCCCCCGTTCCCATAGTCCGATCATGCTGGTTCGCGAACTCGTTCGAATAAATGTAGGTTTACACGTTTGTACCAAATTTCATCAAAATCGGATCATTTTTGCTCGAGTTATCGTGCTAACGGACACATATATATATATATATATATATAAATATATATATAAATATATATATAAATATATATATATATAAATATATATATAAATATATATATATATATGTATATATATATGTATATAAATGTATATATATATATATATGAATTTGAACGGATGGTGTTTTTGGCCTCTAGGGACCTCAAAACGAAAAAATAAATCGGTCCCGGGTCCAGGTCTTACCATGAGTACTACGGTAATAGCTTATTCCCTATATGGGAAATTCGCTAAAAGGTCACCATCCATGACCAGCTTTAATTGATAAATCAAATAAACGGTATCAGCATTCTGACACATACTTTCTCCCATAAGTTTGTCAACAACCTTTATCATGTGTAAGCGGTGTGAGTATAGAAATGGGATTAGTACAGTTTTGATCAGAATTTAAAGGACTATAACATACTAAATTTTTATCAAAATCGTTCGGGCCATTTTTGTGAAAATCCGATTTTTCCGTTATTTTATGGGGGTTTTATGGGAAAATAACATAATTTACAATAACTTTTGAACCGTATTTTTTACAGAAATGGGATTTGTACCATTTTGTTCAGAATTTAAAGGGCTACAACATACTAAATTTCTATCAAAATCGTTCGGTCCATTTTTGGGAAAATCCTATTTTTCCGTTATTTTATGGGGTTTTATGGGAAAATCCCCATTAAAAATCAAAATTTCTAAAAAATTTAAAAAACTATCAAAATGGTAAGGACTATAACATACTATGTTAAATAAAAACAGAATCTTTTTTCTAAAATCCTATTTTTCGTTATTTTATGGAGTTTTTATGGGAAAATAACATAATTTACCATAACTTTTGAACCGTAATTTTTAGAGAAATGGGATTTGTACCATTTTGTTCAGGATTTAAAGGGCTACAACATACTAAATTTTTATCAAAATCGTTCGGTCCATTTTTGAGAAAATTCGATTTTTCCGGTTTTTATGGGTTTTTATGGGAAAATCCCCATTAAAAATCAAAATTTCAAAAAAATGAAAAAAACGCCTGGAGATACCATGGATTAGAACCTACAGACCAAATTTCATCGAAATCGGACCACAGGTGTAGTCTCTAGCTCTGTACACATCCAGACACACAGACATCACTTCGAAAACCACTTTTTTGGGTCCAGGGGGACCCAAAAAGAATATATCCACTCAAAACTCAAACTCGAAAATTTTGACGAAAACAATACTTTCTCCATATACTATGGTATAGGGGGAGAAAGTAAAAAGGAAAGTATTTTTCCTTAGATGGTATTATTTTTAGTTTTTGGTACTTAACAGAGATGAGTCAGTGAAGAAAATTATGTTTTTAAATCCCACAAATATCTGAAGAACCCTGCCTTTGAAAAGACAACCACTTAACTGAAAATGCTGAGGAAGGAGCAACGTGTTAATGATTCAGAGATAATGTTATTAACAAATTCAAACTGACCGAAGAAGAAGTGGTTAGAAAATATGCCGTGATAGCACTTTTCCTACTCAACCCTCCAACTACAAACTTGAAGATTTTCTATTCATTAATGATTGATAGGGAAGGCAAAGTACTAAAGTCAACCAAACATGCCAAACCAGCTAGTAAAAAAGAGGAACAAGCAAAACCCCGGAAAACATGGGTGGAAAGTGAAGACTAATAAAACAACTATAAGCAAATACGACAAAGAACCTGTTATTGAAACATCCAGTGGAATTTAGAAGACAAAGCTGAAATGAATAAATTGGTACATACATGGCAATATACTGGAAGTAGACCTACGACAATTGACCTTGAGCAGCAAGACCAAAATACACTTTGGACTAGAAAAAGGAAGTATGTATTAGTTTTTAAAGGGTTTTTAAGTTTAGTTTTAAGGCAGTGATTAGGTTATAGTAAAACACCATTTTACTTGAGAAGATAGTCTCTATTTCTACTAGCAGAGTTGCCAACATTACAACAGTGAAAAAAAATACATTTTTACATTACACAGAGATAACTATTACATAGGCCTAAATTGATAACATATAGCCTAACAATAGTTTATCCAACACACTCCCTTAATGTACAAATGTTTTTTTTTTACAAATACAGAAAAATAGTGTTATTTTATTAGAACATGATATTATTTTACATAAGAAATTGTTAAGTACCTATCATGTTAACAAATTATAAGTATGAAATTGACAGTAGGCTGTTTATTTATTTTTCTCTAAAAAAATATTTGCCATTTAAAAATAGTATGCTAAGTAGCCTGCATGATTTGTGTAGGCTAAATTATGTCTTTACACATTACTTAATAGCTGACTTGTAAACTTTGAAAATTTTGTGCTGGACAAAGGTTTTGTGAATATGTCAGCCAATTGGTCCTCTGAGCAGCAGTACTTTAAGTCAAATAGTTTGGCATGAAATTGTTCGCTCACAAAGTGAAATCTCACATCAATATGCTTACTCTTTCTGTTCATTTGACCTGATTTGATGAGTTTTATGGCACTTTGATTATCAACATTCAGGGTGGTTTTCACAGTTTTTTCGGTCAGTTCTGTGATTAGAGTCTTGATGTATTTTATTTCCTTGCAACATTCAGCTGCAGATATGTACTCAGCTTCAGCTGTTGATAGAGCAGTTATTGGTTGTTTTTTTGAACTCCATACAATTGGTGCACTTCCTAACAGCAGGACATATCCGCTTGTACTTTTTCTATCCTTTACATCTCCTGCGTAGTCTGAGTCACAGTACGCTTGAATACTTAGGTCTTTAGAACTTGTTGAAGAAAAAAATATTCCTTTGTTTTTTGTTCCTTTGAGGTATCTCAAAGTTCTCTTGATGTTTTGGACATCCTTTTTTCTCGGATTTTCGGTAGAGCGGCTTTCAAAATTAACTGCAAATGTCATGTCTGGTCTAGTTTTATTAGTCATGTAGAGAAGGCTTCCTATAGCTTCTCTATAAGGAAAGTTAGTTTTTCCATCTTCATCAACAATCTTAGTCTGTTCTTCTAAGGGAGTAGATACTGACTTACACTCTGTCATATTAAAGTTGTTGAGTACTTGATTTGCATAGTTTGTTTGACTGAGATAGATGCCTTCCTTTTTCCTGATTATTTCCATTCCAATATACATATTTGGATTCTTGTTAATTGTCATCTCAAAATTAGTTCTGAGTTTTTCTAGCAGGTCTTTAAGTTTATTTTGATTTTTCGCCATTAAGATGCCGTCGTCAACATGAATAGCCAAATAAAGTTCATTTTTAATATCCTTAAACAGGCATTGATCGGTTTTGAGCTGTATTAGTCCTTCATCTTTCAGAAATGAGGTTAACTTCTTATTCCACTGACTTGGAGCTTGTTTTAAACCGTAGAGGGCTTTCTTGAGTTTGCAAATTTTCCCTTGTTCCTTAAATCCTTCTGGTATCTTCATATAAATATCATTCTCAATTTCCCCATACAGGAAAGCAGTCTTTACATCGAAGGTTTGGATATGTAAGTTTTCTTGAGCAGCTAGTGAGAAAAGAATTCTTAAAGAAGCACTTTCCACAACTGGACTGAAAGTATCTCTAAAGTCCAAATTTCCTTTCTTCTGTTCACAGCCTCGAACTACTAAACGGGCTTTATATGTCCCATCCTCTTTAATTTTAAACACCCATCTACTTGTTAGTATTTCATCATTTTCATTCAGTTGTTTTTCATCTATTATTTCCCAAGTCTCATTCTTCTCTAAGGATTGTTTTTCTTTCTTAATGGCCAATTCCCATTTTTCTTTATCGCTACTAGTCATACATTCATTGTACGTCAGCAGAACTTGGCCGTTTTCATATTCTTCTTCATATCTTGAAGGTCGTTTCATATTTATTCTTGGTCGCAGATTGTAGTGTCGTTCATTTTCAATTTCTTCATTTATATCAGGCCTTCCAATATTTTCTTCTTCTAGGTTTGCACCTAGTTGGTTTTCTTGATCTTCTCCTTGAGTTTCATTCATGTGTTCTTCTCTTTCTTCATCTTCTGCAGTTTGTGTACAATCTTCATCAGAAAAATTATTTTGCATCTGTTTTATTTTAATTTGTTCAGAGTTTGCATCTTTGAAAATCACATCTCTAGAGATAAATATTTTTCTTTTTTCAGGATCCCACAATCGATAGCCGTTCATTGCATATCCGACAAAAATAGCTTCTTTACTTCTTGCTTCCAATTTCTTTAAATAGCCTAAGACTTTTGCATAGGCTACTGTGCCAAATATTTGAAGTCTTGAAAGGTCAGGTTTTCTGTCGTAC